GAGGGGGGTTCTTTGTGTGTCTGGAAGGTCTTGTGAGTTCTGTTTTGCTCGAAGAAAATGTTTTTGTACTTCAGAGATAACTGTGAGTATACAGACTTCAACAAAAGTTAGGACTACTTGCAAACACTCTGAGTGGTCTTCTTGGGTCGACTTGCACATAGGCGTTCTTGGACTGATCCAGTGGCTTGATGGCGCTTCCCCAGGCGGACAATGACAGAGTGTGACACTAGGAGCCTTCTGGCAACTTCTCGGGCTCCAACTCCTTCCTGCAGCCATGCCATAGCTCTGGCATGATCAAAGTCTCTCAGCTTTCGTCTTGGTGGTATGTTGAAGCGATACTGGATTTTGCGCAAACGGCGGCTTCTATTGCGACCAGAGTGAGCACATTTCGAGACCGTACATCGGTTTATGACGTGCACCAGAAATTTTTACTGATGAATGCCCGTGTGGCGCACACAAGTCGATAAAAAAAACAGCAAATTTGGCTAAAATTCAACGAGGATTTCCGTGCTGCACGAAGTGGTTTTGGTCACTTTTGAGGCTTTGCAGTACGCATTGGTAACCCATTAACACTTTCAGACTAAAAATTTGGGCTGGATTCTGCTCGGTTAATCGAAGGCTCGCAAAGCAGCGGACGGCTTGCGCTAGAGGCTTGCGAGCAGGCTTGTGATTTGCTTTGCCTCCCGCTCGCTACCGGGGGGAACTTCCGGTGAGTTGTGCTCGCGGACAGTCCTCCTGTACTGTGTCCTGACGTCGCGAACTCTCGTGGCTGTGGGCTGAGTACAAATTACTGAAGATTCTCTGGTTATTTGCGTTGAGAGGCTTGCATCAAAAGTGCAAGATCGTTGTGTTTTTCATAGTTTGATTTGATGACTTGACCTAGTGATTTGAGGCTTGTGACTTGAATTAGGGGCTTGCAAGCACGAGCGGGTTTGCTACCGGGGTACAGCCTTACTAAAAATTTTGAAACATTCGTTGCTGTCTTTTTTTTTCGGATAAAAAAAAAATCAAGACTGTCTGTCAAGGTGGTTCTTAACTTTTGTTGAAATCTGCATTATTATGTGCTGCTTCTGGCTTTCTCTTTTTTTTGGTCTATTGTTTTGGTTGCCTTTATGAGAAAGGTGTAATACGGGGTGCCCAGTGCGGATGGGATCGGCAGGTTGGCCCGACTCACCGAGCGCGTTTGTTTTTAAGCGACCGAGTCGTCGTAATGGGCGTCCCGTATAACAGCATATTATTATTTTCTTTTTCTATTAGTTTGTTTGCTTTATGTGGGGTTTTTATTATTGTGTTGTTTTGTTGTTTTGTACGTGTATGTGTGTGTGTTGTTTGTATGTTTGTGTGTGTGTGTGTGTGTGTGTGTGTGTGTGTATGTGTGCTTGTGTGTGTGTGCTTGTGTGTGCTTGTGTGTGTGTGTGTGCTTGTGTGAGTGAGTGTGTGTATGTGTGTGTATGTGTGTGTGAGTGTGTGTGTGCTTGTGTGTGTGTGCTTGTGTGAGTGAGTGTGTGTGTATGTGTGTGTGAGTGTGTGTGTGTGAGTGTGTGTGTGTGTTTGTGTGTGCTTGTGTGAGTGAGTGTGTGTGTGTCTGTGTATGTGTGTGTGAGTGTGTGTGCTGTGTGTGTGTGCTTGTGTGAGTGAGTGTGTGTGTATGTGTGTGTGTGAGTGTGTGTGTGTGTGTGTGCGTGTGTGAGTGAGTGTGTGTGTGCGTGTGTGAGTGAGTGTGTGTGCGTGTGTGAGTGAGTGATTGTGTGTGTGCGTGTGTGAGTGAGTGTGTGTGTGCGTGT